TGTGTGTGTGTGTGTGAGAGAGAGAGAGAGAGAGAGAGAGAGAGAGAGAGAGGTTAGAGATCCCCTCGTCGCCATCTCTCTCCACAGCCCCCCGCTCCCCAAGCCCCCGCTTCTTCTTCTTCTTCTTCTTCTTCTTCTTCGTCTTCATTCTTTTTTCTTCTGCTGCTCTCCTCCTTCTCCTCCTCCTCCGCCTCGTCCTCTTCCTTTCTTCATCTTCTTCTTCTCCTCCTCCTCGTCAACTTCCTCTTCTCCTTTTCTTCTTCTTCTTCTTCTCCTCCTCTTCGTCATTTTCTTCTCCCTCTCCTCCTCATCGTCCTCCCCGTCATGTTCGTTGTCGTCGCGCAACTGCCACGTCAGCACATGCGACCTTTTTTTTTTTTTGTTCATATTCTTCTTCTTCTTCTTCATTTTTTTCATTCTTTTTTAAATTTCATTTTCTTCTGCTCTCCTCCTCCTCCTCCTCCTCCTCCTCGGCTTCGTCCTCTTCCTTTCTCCATCTTCTTCTTCTCCTCCTCCTCATCAACTTCTTCTTCTCCTCGTCTTCTTCTTCTTCTTCTTCTTCTTCTTCTTCGTCGTCGTCGTCATTTTCTTCATCTCCTCCTCCTCGTCGTCTTCTCCTCCTCCTCCTTTCGTCATCATCATCATCTTCTTCTTCTTCTTCTCCTCCTCCTCCTCCTCCTTTTCCTCTCCTCCTCCTCCTCCTCTTCCTTTTTCTTCTTCTCCTCATTTTCCTCCTCCTTTCGTCATCTTCTATTTCTTCTTCTTCTCCTCATCCTCCTCCTTTTCTTCTCCTCCTCTTCCTTTTGACTGCCACGTCAGCACGCGCGACCTTTTTTGTTTTCTTTTTCGTATTCTTCTTCTTCTTCTTCTTCCTTCTTTCTTCTTCTGCTGCTCTCCTCCTTCTCTTCCTCCTCCTCCGCCTCGTCCTCTTCCTTTCTTCATTGTCTTCTTCTTCTTCTCCTCCTCATCATCAACTTCTTCTTCTCCTCTACTTTTTCTTCTTCTCCTCCTCTTCGTCATCTTCTTCATCTCCTCCTCCTCGTCGTCTTCTCCTCCTCCTCCTTTCATCACCATCTTTTTCTTCTTCGTTTTCTCCTCCTCCTCCTCCTCCTCCTCCTCCTCCTTTCGTCATCTTCACCTTTCCCTCTGCCTCGACCTCCTCCTCGCCATCTCATCCTCCTCCTCAACTTCTTCTTCTCCTCTTCTTCTTCTTCTGCTCCTCCTCTTCGTTATCTTCTTCATCTCCTCCTCCTCGTAGTCTCCTCCTCCTCCTCCTTTCGTCATCTCTTCTCCTCCTTCTCCTCCTCCTGTTCTTCTTCTTCTTCTTCTTCTCGCCATTTTTTTCTTCTCCTCATCTTCCTCCTCCTTTGGTCATCTTCTATTTCTTCTTCTTCTCCTCCTCCTCCTCCTCCTTCTCTTCTCCTCATCCTCCTTTTCTTCTCCTCCTCCTCCTCCTCTTCTTCTTGTCCTCGTCATCTTCTTTCTCGTTTTCTTCTCCTCCTCCTCCTCTTCTTCTTGTCCTCGTCATCTTCTTTCTCTTTTTCTTCTCCCTCCTCCTCCTCTGTTTCTTCTCCTTCTCCTCCTCCTCTTTTTATTCTCCTCCTCCTCCTCCTTTTCTTCTCCTCCTCCTCTTCTTCTTCTTTTATCCTCGTCCTCCATCTCCTCTTCTTCTCATTCATCCCTCCTTGTCCTTCTCCCTTCTTGTACTCCTTCATCTTCTTCCTTCCTCCTCCTCATCCTCCATCTCTTCTTCTTCATCTTGCTCTTCCTCCTGTCATCGTCCTCCATGTTTTTTTTTTTTTTTTTTTTTTTACATATTTCCATTTCTCACACTCGTGAACAGCGTCGTGCATGCGCAGGACCGCAGCTGCCACGGCCACCGGAGGATGTGCAATTGCCACGTCAAGAATAGCGACGTCAGCAGCTCCCTCGATAGCAGCAGCTACGTCAGCAGGTGACACAGCAGCCTCCACGTCAGCGACCTCCACGTCAGCAGCTACCATGTCAGCAGGTGACACAGCAGCTGCCACGTCAGCAGCCGTCACGTGAGAAGATGCCACATCAGCACTTCCCATGGTAGCAGCCCCACGGTCGCGCCCCCCACATTGCCGCCCACTGCGTCTGCTGTCGGGTGACATGGCGAACGAGGAGCAGCAGGAGCCATTCGAGGAGGACATGACCTGCCCAAGGGACCACATGGTGTGGAGTTGGGTGACTCCTGGGCAGATGCTGTCGGGCAATTCTCGCGGGTCGAGAAGGCTGCGCTGAAGGCTGCGCTGCAAGATCTTCAACAAGGAGTACAAAGGGAACTGGAAGCGTGCGTGGGAGCACGTTATTTTGGCGAGGGCGTCAGCCAGGTGTTCGGGTTAGAACCTCTCCATTTGGAAGATTCTGCATCGCATCGGTGCGCAGCTGCCACTGGATTTGCTCGCAAGGGTGCAGATGGCGCTGGAGCAGGAGAGGGATGACGAAGACGACGTTCCCGACGTGGCAGGTGCTGGGCCTGCTGGCGAAGGGGGGGGAGGTGGGATTGTTGATCAGCCTGAGGAGCCACGTGGTGGGGAGGGCGAGGAGGGATTGGATGAGGGGACGAGGGGTGTTGTGACAGGAGGATCCGACGGTGGAGGGAGGCCAGGGTCCTCGCAGGCTGTCATGCAGGTCGCCCGCACACGCAGGCCAGGGAGGCAGATGAGCATCAAGAGGTACGTGAAGAACCCAAGGCAGGAGGAGATTGACAACTCCTGCTGCGAGTTCTTCGTGAGAACGCGATCTCGTTCAACGTCGCTAAGAGCAGGAGCTTCAAGAAGTTCATGCGGGCGTGTTACGGACCACAACCTGCAGCGAGCCACCCTCTTTGTGCCTACTGGGTACAACCCTCTCAGGTGTCGGTTGTTGGATCGCCTTAACAAGAGGTTGTAGGAGGAGGAGCAGGCGATCCATGACGACTGGCAGGTCACAGGGTGCACGTTCATAACCGATAGGACCACAGACATTTGTGGTCGATCGCTTATGAACTACATCCTCGCAGACCGGTCGAAGCCTGTTTTCATCAAGTGCGAGGATCTTAACGAGGGGGACAAGGAATCCGCAACCGTCGTTGCCGGATGGAAGCGGTTCTTCAGGGAGTGGGGGGTGGAGAAGATCACGGCTGTCTGCACGGACTTTTTTGCGGGCAACACAAGTGTTGCGAGGATGCTGAGGGAGGACCCTGAGTTCAACCAGATATATTGGATCCCTTGCACCGCTCACTGCATGGACCTTCTCATGCACGACATTTGCAAAAAGAAGTGGACGACCGAGATCATCAGTAAGGCGAACAGAGTGGTCAACTTCTTCCGGGTTCACAGGTGGCCCAGATCAACGCTGAGAACGACACTTGTGAAGTTCCCAGACTTGAAATGCAGTTGCCTCCTCCGACCGACGCAGACGAGGTTTGGGACTCGCTACGTGATGCTGCAGCGGCTGGAGGTCTGCGAGAAGGCCATTAGACGGATTGTCGCAGGGTAGGAGTGGGAGGTGCAAGTGTGGCGAGGGGACATCAAGGCCAAAGCCTTCTTCGTGGAGGAAACAGTTCTTGACAGGGCCTTCTGGGCTGACGTCAGGAAGCTGACTGCCGTTATGAAGAGGCCCTATGACGTGTTTTGCGAGGTGGACAAAGATGTTCATTGCTTGTCGCTTATTTACGATATGGCTTGTCGACTGCCCGACTTCGTCCGATCAGCCCCCCTTATGGCAGAGCAGCGAGACGACATTCTCAGGGACGTCGGGAACAGGACAGACATGCTGCTCAGCCCCATCCATGTTGTTGCTCGCCTGATGGATCCTCAATGGAGAGACATTACTGTATTCATTGATGTCAACCTCATGACACAATTTGAGGGTGTGGTCGAGAGGCTCATTGGAAAGAAGGGAAGCACCAGATTCGACGAGTGCATGGACCAACTTTACGATTTCCAGTTCGGGAGAGGAGTCCTCGGCACCCCACAGGCGAAGAAACGGGCTACGGAGGACACTGCGGTTTTGTGGTGGGAGGCGCACGGGGCGGGGCATCCAGAGATCTGCGAGTTGGCTATCAGGGTGTTGTCGATCTGGACGACTTCCTCTCCTGCTGAGAGGAACTGGAGCACTTGAGCTCTGGTGCAGACGAAGTGCAGGAACAAGTTGCACCACCAGCGCACCAACAAATTGGTGTCCTCACATTGGAGCTTGAGGCTCAAGAGCAGAGGGGACGAGGGGCCCACGATAGCAGGAGGGTGGTTGGGGCTCTCAGCTGACTTGGAGGACGAGGACCTGGGGGTGATTTGGCGAATGTCATCAAGGCTGTTGATGACTACAAGCCTGCTGTTGGGGGCGCCTGTTCTGCAGTGGGCAGCACTACTGTTCGCCACGATCCAGCTGGGCCATCGACATCGAGGTCCATGCAGAGATTAGGGCATGCGGAGGAGGTCGAGGAGGAGGAGGACAACGAGGAGGCTGACGCCGAGGATGAGGAGGAGGAGGAGGAGGAGGAGGACATTCCCGACGAGGAGTGGGTGGACGAGAGGTCGGACTCCGACAGGTCTTGGACGAGGAGAGAGGACGCCCCGTATGTTCGAGGCACACAATCTGGACTGCGATCCTAGACGCAGCCACGTGGGGAGGAGCAGCAGGTGGAGGATCAGCAGCCGGACGAGCAGCAAGGGAGGGAGCAGCAGGTGGAGGAGGAGGGGGAGGAGGAGTAGCAGGTGGAGGAGCACGCGGAGGGCATGCAGCAGGGGGAGGAGCAGCAGAGCACGAGAAGGAGCAGCAGGTGGAGGAGCATCTGGTGGAGGAGCAACTGGTGGAGGAGCAGCAAGTGGGGGAGCAGCAGGTGGGGGAGCAGCTGGCGGAGGAGCGCGGGGACGACGTGCAACATCTGAGCGAGGTGCGAGCATTTTATGGTTCTGCTCGGCAGTGGCCTCTAGTCGGGCAGCATGGAGCACATCTCGACAGTGTATGGGATCCCCTCGCTTATCGTGCTCAGCGAGGCAGAGGGAGGTCCACTTCGGGACGTGCGACAGAAGGCACAGCAAGGGTTGCACAAGGCACAGGGCCAGGGAGGTCCGCTTCAGGACGTGGGAGAGGTCGGTCACGCAAGGACAAACAACCCGTTGCGACACCAGCAACAGAAGAGTCATATGACGACTCCAGGAAGAGTGCACCGCTGCACATGTCAAAGAGGAGGAGGACAAAGGCTGCAGCAGAGAGAGAGAGAGAGAGAGAGAGAGAGAGAGAGAGAGAGAGAGAGAGAGAAAGAGAGAGAGGGGACTTGTTGTCTTTCACTTTCCGGACCACTGTGCTCGGCGGCGTTGCCGCTGTTCTTTAACTGACGCCCTGAAAAGCTTCTTTGAAGTGCTTTCGGATTCTATTTTGTTTGTGTGCTTCCCTCTCCTGCACTCCTCCTCCTCTGTGTGTGTGTCAGTGTGTGTGTGTGTGTGTGTGTGTGTGTGTGTGTGTCACATTGTGTGTGTGTGTGTATGGGTGTGAGTGCAGCAAGTGTATGTGTGTTTGTGTGTGCGTCAAACAGTCTGTCACAGTCTATATGACAGATTGTCTGTCACAATCTGGTGGGCAGCGCACGAACTGTGACAGAATCTGTCACAATCATCCCCGTCTGAGTGTAACAAGTGTATGTGTGTGTGTGTGTGTGTGTGTGTGTGAGTGCAGCAAGTGTATGTGTGTGCATATGTGTGTGTGTGTATGTGTGAGTGCAGCAAGTGTATGTGTGTGTGTGTGTGGCGAACAGTCTGTCACAAGTCTATGTGACAGACACTGTCACAATCTGGTGGGCAGCGCACAGACTGTGACAGAGTCTGTCACAATCATCCCAGTCTGTTGGGCACAGTCTGTGTGTGCTGCCCAACAGACTGTCTGTGATAGACTGTCCGTTGGGCACAGTCTGTGTGTGCTCCCCAACAGACTGTCTGTGATAGACTGTCTGTCAAAGTCTGTCACAGTCTACGTGACAGACTGTCTGTAACAATCTGGTGGGCAGCGCACATACTGCGACAGAGTCTGTCAGGTAGGGGCCACATAGACTCTGTCAAACTGTGTGTGTGCTACCCACCAGACTGTGACAGACTGTCGGTGACAGACTCTGTCACGCAGACTGTGACAGACTGTGTGTGAGCTGGCCCCCACCACTCTGTGTTCTGCAATGTCTGTTGGGCACAGTCTGTGTGTGCTGCCCAACAGACTCTGTCACAGTCTATGTGTGCCACACATATGTGACAGACTGCCTGTCGCAGTCTGTGTGTGCAGCCCAACAGACCGACTGTGACAGACTGTGACAGACAGTCTGTCACATATGTGTGGCTAATGGGGGGCAGCACGCACAGCCTGTGACGGACAGTCTGTCGGGGGGGGGATGGGGTGGATCAGGTGGGGGGCAGCACCATTGCAGAATAGAGAAACACCCCCCACCACATCCTCTTTGGATTCTGCAGACACCGGGGGGGTTCAGGGACACCACCCATGCCTACCCTACCCCTTCGCGTTCGCTGATTTTCGGAGCCTGTTCGCGTTCGCCGGCGAACGTGTTCGTGTTCGCCGGCGAACGCGAACGGGGTGCTACGCAGGCGTGCAGAGGCACAAAAGGAGCATCACCTTAAGAAGCGGAAACAACGTGAGGCAGGTCAGGCAGGGGGGGGAAGAGAGAGAGAGAGAGAGAGAGAGAGAGAGAGAGAGAGAGAGAGAGAGAGAGAGAGGTCCAAAGAGGTAAAGGTTTGTTAGCAAGCAGAAAAAAGGAGAAGATCGATAAGGAAGAGGAAGAGGAGGAGGAGAGATGGATACCTATTAGGTTATGGGGGGAAAATGAGAATGGGACCTCGCTTTTTGTTCGTGGGGGTGCAATGACCCGAGCAGAAGTAGTCTGATATAGGACCTCGCTCCTTACCTGTTGGCCGGTGTGTTGCTCATCCTATAGATGGAAAACTCTCTCTCTCTCTCTCACACACACACAAGAAAAATAACAACAACAACAACAACAAGTGTGACAGTGTATATTTCAATGTCCTAGCGGTAGATTCATTTGATTTTGCTCATCCTTTCGATGGAAATAGTCTGAGGCCAGCTGCGAGGTTGGAGACTTACCTGTTCAAGTTGGTCGGTGCGTTGCTCTCTCTCTCTCTCTCTCTCTCTCTCTCTCTCTCTCTCTCTCTCTCTCTCTCTCTCTCTCTCACACACACACACA